TTGGATCCCGTGGATCTTCCCAGGTTTTACCCAACACAAAGCGTTTAAAACAGTGGTTCTCAACCCGTGGGTCCCCAGGTGTTTTGGCATTCAACTCACAAAAATCCTAACAGCTGGTAAACTGGCAAAGTCCTGTTCAAGATGAAAAAGTAATAACACATGCCAATGTTCTACATTAGATCCTGTACTTAGTTATGTATATGTGACTAAGTATCATCTTCAATCTTAATCCCTAATGCCACGATAATAGCCAGCTGGCAGATTGGGTGAAAGAGGTTTGCTCAGCTGCCAATCAGGGTGCAAGGATAGCATTTCCACTCTCTTCCGCCAGTAAGGAAGCCTGCAACAAGAAACAGAGACAGGGATCCTGCTTCTGATTGTCATAGTCTCGCTCAATGGGCAAAGAGGATTGAAACATCATCCTTCTTGTGCCCCATTCTCCAAGTGAACATCTGATCTGGAATGTGGGCAAAGAGGACAGCAACACTATGTCAGAATATGAAACCCATATAGATATGTGAATGTAGTTTACATGTCTGTAACTGCAAGATGGAATATCTGACTGTATTCATAAATCACCAGTATATAGGAAACTAGGCTCAGGAAGAAAAAAGGCCAATGGATTGAAATGAATGTTTCTCAAACTCTGCTCCCCCTCAAGATGTTTTGGACTTCAGCTGTCACAATTCCTAAAAGCTGGCAAAATAGCTGGGATTTCTGGGTGCTGAAGTCCAAAACATCTGGATGAACAGAGTTTAAGAAACACTGGAATAAAAGATAACTGCAAGTATGCATGTAACAGAGACCATACTTTCCCACCGATTCAAAAGAAGCTATAAATGGATGCCAACAAGAAAACTGCAACAGTGCTATTATAGATAGATGATGGTAAGGTTTCATTAATCTCTAAACTAAAGTGCTACCAGATGAAATGGAATTGCCTTAGTGAGAAATCCAAACATTTACCATATCCACTTAGCCTGTGGATGATTTTAAAGATGAATATAGTGTGTGTTCACTTATGAGGAGGACAGTCGAAGATGGCAATGAACTGTCAACACTGGCAGCTATCAACTCTAGCCAGACAGAATGCCATTCATTTGATTATCCTTAACCCACAATGCCAAATGAGTCACAACAGCAATCTTCATAGCTATTGTGGAAACATGGGGAGAATTCACAGAAGTAGGCTTGTTCCGTACTAATTAATTTTTAGGTCTATATCTAAAAAGCCAAGCAGTTCTGTGGGTCTTTCCTCTCACCTTATGGAAAGCAGGTGAGAGAAAGTGGAAAAACAAAAGAGGTTTCTAAACCTTTCTCTTCCCATTGGTCGTCTCTTCCAAACCAACCCCCTTCCCAGCTGATATGTGCAAAAGGGTCAGTTTGGTATTTCTTCCTCACATAAGGCATTCCTGGGGCTTGATACTAAACTTTTACCCTTGGAGAATGTAAGAAGGAACCTGTAATGGCGCATAATTTATGAAATAGTCGAGCAAACACTACATGTGCATCCTGCAATATGATATCAAATTCCCACAAAAATAATATTTGTTCATGCTCTTTGGTTATGGGCTACAAGGGATGACACACAAAGAGAGAACGCCACATTTGTGAATTGACAATTGACACCTTTTTACACAACTAAAATGATTTGGTTATTGATTAGTTCCAATCTGTGATGAGGAATTACCGTTCAGTATCCTTTTACATTAATAAATGCAAAGTACTTCAATATAAAAAGTGCCTGATCATATTAGAGCTCCATGGCACCTGAGTGTGGCAAGAGGGAACATCACTCGCACAAAGACCATCCATTCAATCCATGGCTTAGCTAGGACATGCCTCCTACCTCAGCCTCTCCTGCTCTCATGAACACCCCTTCTCTTTTTGGTATTAAGTGCTTTGGTTTATTGAAGACTTATACTGAGAATTTACTAAACAATGTCAAATTCAAAAGCAATTGCTAGCCTGTTGCTTTTCAGCCAGTAGCTCAGATAGGCTACCCTTACAGCACCTCAATGCTATCTCATCAGGTCCTGTGTCCAGCTGATCCAAGATATTACCTTTAGCCATGGACCAGCACTTATCTTTTGTATAGCAGCATAAGAATATTACATTTTCAGGAAGACATGAGAGAGGTGGACATCTATTACTACAGAAGAAACGTATATCAGCTCAGGGACTGATATGCACCTCTCTCTCTCATACGTACACATGTGCTCACTCTCCCTGAGACAGAAATCATTGGTTTCAAAGACACAAGAATCAAAGAAGAAGGACCTGTAGAGCAGAATCTTTTTGTAGGTTCCAGAAAACAAGACATACAGGTTCTCAAGTCAACAACATCAAAATATTTTTTCCAAGTATTTGGGACAACTGAACTTTTGTTACCTTGTAGTTTAGGGATAATCATTGCCAGGCAATGATTCACTGGTACAAAACGCTAGTGAAGAACTGCTTAGGAAGCAAAACATCGTGGCAAACTAGTTCTAATAAGCCAGTCTTTGGATTTGCAAGAGAAATCAGGCTAAACTAACCACAAAACAAAAGTGCACAGTTGTTCTCAGGTGATTTTCAAAGGCCTTTCACTGCCTTCTAGTCCACTGAAGAAACAATCGTTCTTAAGGTTTCCTAGCCACAGTTATAGTGTGATAACATGCACCTCCACAATGTGTCTGTACGCAATCTCAATGTGGCAGATATTGATGTTCAAGTGTCAGCCTTAGTCAGCATGGCCTCTCTCTCTCTCTCTCTCTCTCTCTCTCTCTCTATGGATGGATGCATGGATGGATGGATGGGGGACAGAATTAAATATGGTAGGAGAGACGTGTCATACCAAAGACACTGTTTAGGAGAACACACTGCATTCAAATTATGATTTTGTGGACAAAATCTCAAGTTCACAAAATGGGCCAAGCCTTGGCAAGCAAGCTTTGGACTATGGCGAGCAAAGGTATTTTAAGTAATATGAAGGCAGACCTCAAACTGGAATGCAATATTAGTTTGTTTCCCAGCTAAGAAGAATACAGGCAGAATGACATTACTGTGAGATTCTATGAACTCCAAGAAGTAATATTTATGGATAAATACATCGGAGAGGGAGTTGCACAGAAACGTGTTTACTGCACAAAAAGTCTCTATTTCGGTCCAGAAAGTAGTTTTTATACACAGTACGTCTGCGCAAAAAGTGCCTTTTCTGGACAGGAAAACCACTGCTACTTCTGTACAAGAAGCCGAGGGGGGCGGGGGGGTTGTACAACACAATAATATCTTTTTGTAACATCTTCCCTGGTGTCAAGAGTTCTGGGGATCTTTAAAAATTATACGTTATTTGTGATCTTTGATTTGGTCCAATAAGGATAGACGCTAACATTGATTTCAAAGTTTTACCATTCATAATGAGTTGTTAGTCCCGTAATCTACCAAAAGCCCTATCATTATCAATATAAAGTATAGATAGACCTCATTTAATGAAGCGGATTGGTTCCTCTGCATCGCATAAAATGTAGTATCACAGATATAAATGTCACAGAAAGATTAGGGACAGGTTTCTACACCACAAAAAAGAACAGGTCAATAGGCTTCAGCATGCGTTATATCCAAAACTAACACATACGAAATGAAACAACCACAAGGAAAAAGCCCGAGGCTGAAAGTACTGGAGACAACTTGGATGTTTCTTCCAAAATGCACTCAGGGCTCAGTATGATGTTCTGGAGCCAGATGCAGTTTATTTTGCCTGTTGCAAGGCAGCTACACACAACCTACAGACTGGAGTAGAATATCATTCTTTCCCAGCTCAAGTCTCTCCTCAGCCTCATGTCTCATAGACAACTATGAGATGCAAAAGGTGTGAGAATCTGTGAAATGGTGGGAAACGTGGGTTCACACAAAACACTATTCTAGGATCACCACCATTTCACAGATCTCCCATCTCTCTCCAATCTAGGATCCCATTCATTTGCTGTTTGTGTTGTGTACAAGATGCCAGGTTGGAAAGAGAATGAAGATGGGTGAAATGGCAGAAATGTAAACACAGCATTCAGAGTGAATCCAAGCCTCTTCGGCCTTTCTTCCTCTCTTACCTTGCCAATACAGTATGTACTGGGATACCTGTATTCCAAAATCTGAAGAAATACAAGACACTTCAAATCCCAAGTATTTTAGATAAGAGCTATTAAACCCATAACATCAAGTCAAGCCTGAACATCAACAAGATCCCAAAATGATTACAGTGAGGCTATCGTACTTTGGATATATCAGGAAATGACATTGAAAAAGACCACATTGAACAGTAAAGAGAAAGGCAGTAGGAAAAGAGGTAGGTCGTATTATAAATGGATGGATTTGACAAGGAAGCGCCAGTCCTGAGTTTGTGAGGCAAGGCTGTTGATGACTGGAGCTCTTAGGGGCTCCTCAATCATAGGGTTGCCATAAATTGAGACTGACTGAGTGACAAACAACATGAATAAGTCTTGATATATTTGAAGAAACAGTCTACAGTGTATTCTCATGTGTTCCCTCTTGCAGTTTTTTTTTTTGTCGTGTCAGGAGCAACTGCTCCTGTTGTGAGAGAATTGGCCGTCTGCAAGGACGTTGCCCAGGGGATGCCTGGATGATTTTTGATGTTTTATCATCCTTGTTGGAGGCTTCTCTCAGGTCCCCACATGAAGAGCTGGAGCTAATAGAGGGCGTTCATCCGCCTCTCCCCGGATTCGAACCTGTGACCTGTCAGTCTTCAGTCCTGCCGGCACAGGGGTTTAACCCACTGCGCCACCTGGGTACAAGCATGTAAAAATGTAAAAATGTGCATGTATTTATAATGAAATGATAACACAGGAAATTGTCTCATGCAGGTTAATAAAGGAATAAGTCCAAATGTATTCAAGTGGACTTATTCCTGTGTAGGTGTGGACAGAGAGCATTCAGTCAGCACAAAAGTTTCAGGATACTTGTGATGACAGAGCAGAAGCTGAGAATTGGGGTGCGGCCGGGGGGGGGGGGTAGTTAGAGGGAAAATAAGTAGATGAGCTCCAGTGTAACTCACTTATTTTTTCTTTTCACTGAGAACATGCCGGAGAATTGTGAGGCCACAGAATCCGATAGTTTGAATCACCCCTGTTTGCCACTTGATGGTAGAGGCAGACACTGCCTCAAAATCACAAGCTTGCGGCTTATTAAACCCTTGTGCCAGCAGGACTACTGACCGAAAGATTGGCAGTTCGAAACTATGGAGTGGGGTGAGCTCCCATCTATCAGCTCCAGCTTCCCATGTGGGGACATGAGAGAAGCCTCCCACAGGATGGTAAACCATCCAGGTATCCCCTGGGCAATATCCTTGCAGACTGCCAATTCTCTCACACCAGAAGTGACCTGCAGTTTCGCAAGTTGCTCCTGACACAATTTTTTTTTGTATATATCTGGTTTTGTTGCAACAAATTATAATTTTGGAAGCTTCAACTAGATTTTTTTTCTTGGCTTACAGAAGGCTCACTGTAATAATGCATTCTGAAGTCTTAATCAACACCATAACAAAATAGGAAATGAGTTGGCAACCTGAAATTTGAAAATGACATTGGACGATTCCTTCAAAAAGTGGTACTAGTCATGGCTTTAAAACTACAGCACTAATACTTCTTAATCTTTGAAGACACATTACCCCACAAAAATGCTATGGTAAAAATGCTTTCTTTAAACAAAAAAAGAAAGAATAAAGTTATGGCATAATATATTGTGAAACGCCCCTGAAATACATTCAACTTTCATCTTTGTAACAACTTCAAGTTTATCTTTGCTTTTATTCTTCCTCTCTCGCTTTTGCTTTAATATGGGAATCAAACGTGCCATTAAAAGCACTTCTGTAATCCCTCCGGAACATTTTTTACAATTTTCCTTGAGTTAAAACAAAAAACAAAAACATTCTTCTTGGTTTGAGGTAAATTATTTTTCCTGAGTCGTTAAAAAAGAAACAAAAAACCCACTACTACATATTTTACAAAAATAAAAAGGAGGCTAGTTTATTCAACAATCTACACTTTTAAAAAAAATCATCCCACAGCCCCTTCCCTTAAAACCCACGGATGCCATCAGCCTCAGAAATTATACTCCTGGAGGCTCTAAAGGACACCCGGGGGATCTCCCTGGAAACACACCTGAATTAGGACAGAATGCACCGAATGATCCCGAGTGTGATGCCTGTGCGACCAAACAGAAAGATCCAGGAAGTGCGCTATGGAAAAAAAAGGAACTGGGGAGACCTGTCTGAACACTTTATAATGCTGGTGTGGAAAGGGGGTGTCTAGGGGAAACAGCTTAATAATAAATAGATTATCCTGAGTTCATTGAGCAACTACTTTTTCCTTAACATAGAGACCCAACAACCACCACACAAACTTTCAGACATCTTTTAAAAAAAACCAAACCAAACCAAATGTATGCAAATCAATCTAGGGAAGTTCTTGCATCCAGGAGGTTTGACTTTCTAAGAGACTAGAAGGACTCCTCACCCTTCCCCTGTTTCCATAGGCAGGCAGGCAGGCGTTCTGCCCCACAGAAATGGGAGCACCGAGAGGGGAAAAAATTGGAAAAGGTCTCTCGATTGGAGAAACCCAAGCTCCCACTCAAAGAAGCCCCGGATGATCTAACAGGTGAGGCAGGACACTCTCCACTAATGCCGCGATCCATACATTTTATCCCATTCAATGTACAAATCCAGCTCTTTCTGAGAGACAGCAGGGTGAACCTTGCAGAAAATGCTTTCAAAATCTTTGTACGAGGTGGGCTGAAGCTGGCCTGGCAAGCCGTGTAGCTTATTGGCCCCTGCCTGCTGACAAAGTTGGAGGAGCTCGCTGCCAGAGTAGCTTTCGGTGAGTTGCACAATGGAGGCCATTTCCCTCTCGCTGAGGCAGTAGTTTTGCTGGGCTAAGGCATGGTGCAGGATCTGCCGCCTGGCAGTGTTGTCTGGTGGGGAGATGTAGAAGCGCTTGGCAAACCTTCTTTGTGTGGCTTCATCCAGGTTGCCAGGTCTGGTTGTGGTTGCTATCACAACCACATTCTGCTCACCTGAGGTAGCAAGATTATCCATATAGGAGAGGAGCTGGGACTTCAGGATGGCGGAGTCTTCCAGGACAGACTCCACATCGGTGATGAGAATGACGGCAGGCTGACGACAATTGGAGACAAAGAAGGTTGTCTGGAGGATCTTCTCAGCTTCAGCCTTCCACTTGGAGACCAAGGCTGTGCCACTGAGCTTCAGCAGAGTGGATCCCAGCTGTGTAGAAATACACCTGCTCAACAGGACCTTCCCCACACCACGAGGTCCAAACAGAAGGATGGTTTTGGGTGGTCGGTTCACCCCAGTATAGGCACCTGGCCTCAGGATGGGCCACACCAGCTCTTCCTCTATGGCAGCTTTGACAGAGACGTGTCCGGCAATGTCTGTCCACTGCACCGGAGGGCCACAGTCAATTATCTTGTTGTTCACTAGTTCAAGGATGAAAGGATCCACTGTTTTCAGTTGTTCTTCTATCGTCTGGCTGCTGTTGTCACTACTGAAAGTGGGTGTTTTCGGCTGCATTCGTAGACCAAAGGACTCTCCCTCGCGGTCACCATTTGCAGCGGGAGGGGTGAACTTCTCAAAGCTCTCACTTGGCCTCAGTGGGGCTTCACCAACACTGTAAGCTGGCGAGATGAGTCCTTTCATGGGCTGGCTGTTGTATTTCTCTATGGGCTCCTCTGAAGCCACAGCTGCCGCCGCCACTCCCACAGACCTTTTCCCACCTTTGAAAGGCACCTCAGAGCTGCGGTTGAATCCATTCCCTCTACATTCGCCACTGTCGGACATCTGATATGGGGACTTTGGTTGCTCATAGCTGTATTTGCGATACCGGCCTTCGCTATCATCTTCATCACCGGTGATGTCAAAGGCCTTTCTTTTCAGAGAGTTCCCTGACTCCCCACTGAGGGGTGGCACTGGGAGGGGGCTCTGGTAGCTGTATCCAGGGACCACAGGGGGGCGAGAAGAAGGAGGGATTGGGGTGGGGGCAGCAATACCCGAGGGCAAGTAAGAGGCTGACGGGTGAGGAGGGTGGATGGTACCATAACCAGGCTGAGGTGGGTAGCTGCCTGAGGCATAGTTGTACATAGCTCCTGAGGGGCTGTAGCCCGGGACAAGCGTGGTTGTGGGGTGGCTGGGCTGTAGGAGGCCTGAGCTGTGCAAGGCAGACGGGTGTGGAGGAGGAGGAAGCGCCGAGGCAGGCTGGCTGCAGTAACCTGATGACAAGTAGCCTCCACTGTAGCTGGAAGAGTACTCCTGAGGTGGCCCAAGGCCGCCAGAAGCAGTGGCCCCCCCACAAGTGTTACCAGGATAAACTGAGTCAGAGAGATTACTGGAGACCACAGGGGAGGTACCAAGACTGTTTCCTGGGGTGACAGCAGGAGGGACAATCCCCTTGGAGCCGGACAATCCATCATGCATTGGGGTCAAAGGGTATGCCCCCTCTGAGCTATGTGTCATTGGCCAAGGCTCCATCTCCGTCTTCTGACCATTGAGGGGCCCAAAGGCCCCATCCCCATAGCTGTTGATTGCCGATGGTCTGTCATAAGGGGAGTCCAATACTCCAGAGTACTTCTCCGCATACCGCTTCAGTAGGTTGGAAGCCGTCAAGGCTGAGATGTCATCATTGGCCCAGGCATAGTTGAAGCGCTGCCGGCTGCTGTGGTAGAGGTCAGATTTGTGGGCAGGCGAGGAGGTGGTGGAGGAGACATCAAGATGCTGCTCCGGCCACTGATTCAGGGGCTGAGCATGCTCTGGTGTCCAGTGCATCTTTGACAGAGCTGCGGAGAGAAGAAGATGAAAGAAAATAAGAATTAGATTTTTTTTGGGGGGGGGGGCTGAAAAATATTCAGAGACCTTATTCTACTACTCTATGTACCCAGCTTCATATAGGTCTGCTTAGTTTGGCATGAAGTAACCTTCCAACAAAGTTACACAGGTGTAATAGTTGAATTCAACGTGCCCAGCAATGTCTCATGAAGCCATGGTCACTGGGCCCTTTTGGCGTAGCCACTGTTGTAGTGCACCCTCACAGCACTTTGAAAGAGCGGCCCATTAACTCCATGCCCATGAGGAAGGTGCTGTATAGCCACGGAAAGGTGAGGCACATCCTACATATTCCTTACCCTTGGCTTCCAACTACATTTACTGCTGGAATAGGGACACAAAACTACACAAGTCCTTGCTTGATTTTGTATAACAACCTCCCTCCATCCCAGCATTCCTCAGCCTCAAGAGACTCACCAACCAACTCCCCAGAAATATGGTGATATACATTTCCCCCTGCATAGTTTAGCACCAAAAATGAGGAACTGCTTCACTATTGCTACAGGAGACAGAACATCCATCCTCACACATGGAGTGACAGCAGCATACCCACTGAATCTCCTGATTTGGAAGGTAGAGCCTTAATTAATCCTCTTCTGGCCCAATTTTTCTGATGATTTTAAAATATCCCAGTTTCTCCCGCCCCGCCCCCCTTCTTCCTTTGTGCCAAAGCAATTTGCATTCAATTAACTCAGCAGGGAGGAGGTGAGGAGGGAACACAATTTTGCTATTCCTGGTAGGCTTATGAAAAAAACAAACTGCATCAGCCTTTCCTGGCTTGTCTGTTCTTTGTTAATAAATGTTGCTGTTTTGACCACACTCTTAATGTTTGGCCACACATGGCCAGGTTTTCATCAGTGAAATGTTAGAGGATGTGCTGCTGCAGATCTCTAAACCATTTTGTGCTCTGTATTTATTAAACAAACAAACAAACAAACAAATAAAAAATTGCCAGCCTTGTTTACCTGCCTGTCCACTTAAATAAACCCTCAGAAGAAAATGAAATTGGACATGCCAATTTCTAGTTCTCCTGCAGATCCTGTAGATCTGGTTTCTTCCTGAATTCATGGGTCTGTAGGTCTTCATAGAATTAGGTAGGTAAAGGTATTCCCCTGACATTAAATCTAGTTATGTCAGTCTCTGTGGGGTGGTGCTTATCTCAATTTCTAAGCCAAAGAGCTGGCGTTGTCCATAGACGCCTCCAAGGTCATGTGGCCAGCATGACTGAATGGAGTGCTGTTACCTTCTCACTGGAGAGGTACCTATTGATCTACTTATGCTTGCATATTTTTGAACTGCTAGTTTGGCAGAAGCTGGGGCTAACAGCGGGAGCTCACCCTGTTCCCACGATTTGAACCATCGGCCTTTTGGTCAGCAAGTTCTGCAGCTCAGTGTTTTAACCCGCTGCAACACCCAGGACTCCCTTCATAGAATTACAGAATGGGAAGTGGTCTCATGGCCCATTGAAGCCAACCCCATTTAGTGCAGGATCTCCAGACTCTTTTTGAAGACATCCACCTCCCTAAGCAATTGGTTTCATTGCTGAATCATTCTTATTGTCAAGAAGTTCCTTTCAATGTGAGATTGGCATCTACTCTCTTGTAACTTCAAACCATTAGCCTACCCTTTGGGGCAGCAGGGAACAGGGCTGCTCTTTCCTCTCTGTAACAACCCTGGAGGTATTCGGTTATTAGAAACCATTTTCATCTTTAAAAAGGCTATTTCTCAGTTAATTTTCATCCTAACTAGTGGAGAAACATACATGTAACCATCTGAAGGGTAGAACAGGCAGTCTATATGAGGCAAAGTTCCGGAAAGTTACTTTTCTCTAGCCTACAGAATTTCCCAGGCAGCATAACAACTTCTGAAACATGTTTTCAAAAACAGAAACTTTCCAAGCTAAGTCCTGAAGATGAGCAAAAGAGAAAGAATCAAAATGATGTTGTTTTTCAATGGTTTAATATACATGTCTGTCGGACAATCAAATATTAAGGACATCCAAGGAAATCAGAATTACTTTAGCAGAGAGATTCACTATAAGTGAATAATTATAACTATATTGTAGTTGCTTTAAGGTGCTGCCTTAAGTCCCAGTTTGGGGGAGAGGTGGGATATAAACAGCTGACGAGGTAGAGGAAGAAGAGGACTGTTTTTTTAAAAAAAAAATCACCTGCCTTCATTGTAATCATGCATAAAAAGTCTCACACATCGGGAGCTGACAGATAGATCTTGTATACCTTCATAGGGCAGATAAAGGTATGGTTGCTTTTTCTAACCATGGCTATGCTGCCACTTTAACACAGGAGGATAAAGATGATTGGGGATACAGAGCAGTGCTTCCAAGCTATCTGTGGAAAACTGGCTTTTTTTCTCCAGTTTGCTAGGGTATAGTACCATATTTCTCCATTAGCTGACAATCCTATCTTTGGGTTGCTGTTGTGAGTTTTCTAGGCTGGATGGCCATGTTCCAGAAGCATTCTCTCCTGATGTTTCACCTGCATCTATGGCAGGCATCCTCAGAGGTCTTGATGTCACACATCACAACCTCTGATGATGCCTGACATAGATGTGGGTGAAATGTCAGGAGAGAATGCTTCTGTAACATGGCCATACAGCTCGGAAAACTCACAACAACCCAGTGATTCTGGCCATGAAAGCCTTTGACAAATCCTATCTTTCTTCTCCAGAAACTCATCAGGACCACCTCTTTGACAGCCTCATCAATCAGACTAACATTTTAAAGAGGGCACCCCTGCTTTCTCGGCATCTTCTGCCTCCTGCAGAACTCTGGAAGATGTAGTTTAGGGTGGGACTTTCAGAACTGTCAGCTAGAGAGGTCCCCACTTTCCCAAACTACATTTCCCAGAGTTCTGCAGGGTGCCTGCTTTAAAATACTAGTCTGATGAAGCTCTGAGAAGCACTGCTCATACATAATACAGTGGGCAATTGGCATTCACCCAGATTTAATTCCAGGAACTCTGGTGAGCACCAAAATCTATAGAGGTTCAAGCCCTATTATATACAATAACCAAATAAAACAGTGTCCATTATATAAAATTGCAACATCAAGATTAAATTTTAAATTTCTTTACATATATAGTTTACTAGCCAAGAATGATTAAATCCATGAAAAGCAGAATCTGAGCATAAGGGGGCCAAGTAGATTCAAATTACAGGGAAAGAGATTCCACCTAAACATTAGCTATAATGGTTGCTGAGAATTTTCTGGGCCATATGGCTATGTTCCAGAAACATTTTCTCCTGACATTTCACCCACATCTATGGCAGGCATCTTCAGAGGTTGTGAGGTATATTGGAAAGGTTTATATATCTGTGGAATTCCCAGGGTGGAAGAAAGAACTCATGTCTGTTGGAGGCAAGTGTGGATGTTGCAATTAATCCCCTTTATTAGCACTACAAAGCCTTGCAGCTTCAATGTTTTTTAATAGTTGTTCAGAAGTGGAATTGGCTACTTTGGACAGTGGAGGACTCACTCTTGGGAGATTTTAAACGGAAGTTGGATGGCAACCTTTTGGAAGTAGTTAGTTGCAGATTTTTTCATGGCAAAGACTTGGATAGCCTTTGTGGTCCCACCCGAGACTATGGTCCCATAACTGAAAAGGTCCTTCAGTCTTGTTTCATTTATCCATAGAATCTATTGTTAGTCAACTTCCCTAAATAATTATTGGTATGTACTGCCATTTACGCATATTTTCCCCATTCTGGGAGGGTGTGATGGATGTTTGACTACAACTTGCTACCCTGAGTTGCCTTTGGGCTGATATGGGTGGGATAGAAATAGTGCAAATAAATAAATAAATAAATAAACTCCATCACACTAGAAAATAAATCCATTTAAAATCTTGTTTCTGCCTCCTGCAGAATTCTGGGGTTTGTAGTTTAGGGAGGAGCCATTAACAGCCTCACTAAACTACAAACCCCAGAATTCTGAAGGAGGCAGAAACCGGATTTTAAGTGGATTTACTCTCTAGTGTGATGAAGTAGTTAATATGTTGGGTTTTTTTTTCCTTTTGAAGGGCACATAAGTCTAATCTGTTGGCTTGGGGAAATAAAATGGGGGATGTTAACTGCCTAAACAAGCAGAGTGTCCTTACAGAAGGACTTTCCGCAGTTCTGTATACCCTAAATGCACCATCCTGTCTGTTCTTGGAAGCAAGCAGCGTCACCCTTTGTTCTGACTTGGATGAGAAACTGCTAATATCAGGTGCTATATTTCAAGGACAGGGTTGACAAACCCACCTTTGAGCATTCCTAAGAAATTCATAGAGTGGCCATAAGTGAATAGGTAACTGGAAGCCACATATGTATATACAAAGAGAAAGGAAGCTTAAAACAAGGCCAGCCATGCCAGTTGTAAATGTGCAACCCCCTCTCCCTCCCAGAGCCCCCTCCCTCTTGGCTCAGCTGCTCCCCAGCAAGCAGGCGGAGGAATGCACACAATGAAGCAATCAGGGCCAGCGCTGGAGGAATGCTAACAGCACATCACCAGCCTCCGACTTAAGTAACTTTAATTGTGCCGGGCTGTTTTCGACCCCTGCCCATGGCTTTCTCGTGCTTCTGATCTAATGAGCAAAGACATTTCAGGAGCCTTGCTGGGGGGGCTCGGCAAATTCCAAAACGTGGGGGCTCCAGATTGAGGGGAACAGTGGGAGGGAGGAGCACAGAGGAGTGTTTGTGTGTCCCTCTGTGTCTGTGCATCCGTCCAAGAACACTGGGCGCATTATGCAGCCAGAACCAAACCCACACAGGGCTTTGTAGCTACAGTCCTAGGTTTTCAGTGCAGCTCCCTTCCTCGCCTCTATTGTTGGTGTGTTTCTGTGGCTGTGTGTCCACTCTCCCTCCCTCCCTCCCCACCCCACGCCTTCCTCTTGGCTCTCCTTCCTCCTCCTCTGCTGCTCCTTCACAAAGGCCTCAGGGGGACCGCTGTGGAGTG